TTAATTTACCTGGTTTATGTAAGAACTCCAGTACAGAGACGCCAGTTGGTGGTGTAAGGAGGAAATTCTACGATCCAGCTTCAGCGAAAACTGAGTAGTTTGCCTCGGTGTAACTGACCTTAATTCTACGTACAAACGTAGTGCTTTGTCCATTAGCTCGATGACTTCGCTTTTGACCTATCAGAAAACACAGGAAATAATAATAATAATATATGTATATATCTAGCCGAATTTTTGAAAACATACTCAAAATGGGCCAGAATATCCGCACAGAAAATCACTGCGGTGAGAAAAAACATAGGGGGCTTGCTGTCCTGGTTGGTCTCATTGTCAACTGAGCTAACTCGCCATGGGTTGGAAAGGGGCCTCCATGTCAATCCCTAGGGGGGGAGGGTGCTGCAAAAGCGTTGTACCTTCCGTTAGTCCTGCTCTGGCAGAGTCAGTGCACTGGTCATGTCTGCCTTTAGTTCGTCATGTCAAATTCTTGTAACGTTTGAGGCCCATTGGCCAATGAAAGCATTCCCCTCAAGCACGTGCTAGGCTGGGGGGGGAGGAAGTCAGGGGGGTTGATTTAACCTTGAATTCTCTGCTTAGAGCTTGGCTAAGTCTCAAGCATCCTCCGTCATTTAGGGCCTTTAAGCAGCTAGAGTGTATGAACAAGTCCAGAGTGTCTTTTTGATGGACTTAAATGTTTCTTTTGTTTATCAGGAACCATGAAGAGAGTCACCTTAAGAGAACCATGGGTAAGAGCTGAGTTTCTTGGCGATATTTACTTTAGTTGAGTCAGTTTAAGGTGTGTGGGCTCCTGGCGTCCGATGGTCCGGTTTTCATAAATCCGGCTAGATATAAATATATATATATATATATGAAAACACGGCTTGCACTGCTTTATTACGTTGTCTACCAAATAACCTTCCCTACATGCGCCAAATAATAACCAATTAGATGAAACCCAATAAAATGTTGAATTTTTAGCAGTAACTTGTCCATTTTAATCATTCCACGAGTTACCTGTTTGTAGGAGTCAGAAGAAAGAGGAGTAACATCTTCCATATGCATCAGTCTGGCCATGGTGAAGCACGACTCGGAGAGCTCCCATGTCACTTTATCCCACAGATGCGGGCTCTCTTTTCGCTCTACGATGCAAACCTTCGCTCTTTCATAACACTCAAAGGCCTGAAAAGAGGATAAAATCGTTCACGAATATTTGCACATAATTGCGATGAATAATGAAAGGAATAGGGACTCGGTCGTTTGATGTTATAGGTCACCTAATCGTCCATCATGTGACCATTCTTAAGCGACGTAAACACAAAATCGAATCTCTCCTTGAAGACACCTCTATTAAACTTTAAAGACAAATCTCTGGCTCCGACTACACCAAACAATATAGTATTTAAGGAGGTTCGACAGTATCAGAAAAGGAGTACTCCTCTCCTTAAACTAAATTAACAATGGTAAACAACTGAACCAAATACTCGTGTATAATAACCTGGTTAAAATAGCCTCTTTCCTCTTCACTAAACTCTTGCCTTTTTCTTCTCCGTACAGCCTGGGCAAAAATTAGCTTCAATCGTCCTAAATTGGACAGTACTAGAGCCTTGTTTGCACTAAGGACAAAAGAGAATGAATTGTAAGCACTCATACTCACTTGATAAATTGACTTCTCTCTTTGTCAAAGCCCTTATAGGGTTCTCAGTATACATTGAACGATAAATGTAAATCATGGTCAGCGCGAGCTGGTTATATGAAGAGTTATATAGGGTATTTAAGCCAGTCAAGAGAAAAAGGAGTTTGGAAACATTTTGGACGAATTATAATCCTAAATATTGGCGCAAAGGCGCCTGAAAATCGTAAATTGAACTAAACAATGCATCCAGTCCTACGCGGGTCATCTTCTCCCACATTAGAGACCCAGGGGCAGTCAGTCGGGTTGGGAGAAACCCCGACGCAACGAACGATCTGCCCGCGGGGCTCCGAAGATGTTTTCTCTCCGGAATTTGTGAATATATCCCCACCTCCCCAGATTAAGATTTACCCTGTAAAAATGCGTTTTCAGTGCTTTTTTTCGCCGTAATGACAACACGAAACCTAACTATTGGTTAGGTTAGGGGGCTGAAGAGTCACGAATCGAAAAGATCATTCACCCAAGAAATTACGACACCTCGCACATTATTAAAAAGTCTAAAACACTTTTCACTAACCTATCATTTATGAGGTCGAAGGTACTAATCCCGCTCTCAAAGTTTGAGGAGCTCCTCTGCAACAATTTCTTTTCCTGCGGTGATAGTTCTGCTTTGTTAGCAACTAAGGCAACGGCCTTCTCCATATAATGCATGCCTAACTCATTTTGGACATTTCCAAGCCTTCTCTCGATGTCCACCCAAAAAGTCGTTTCGGTAGATGAAGAGCAAGAGTTGATTGCAGCCAAATAAGAGAAAACACTGAAGTATGACCAGAAAAGAAACAATCAAAATTAATCAGAAACAAACGATTAAAAAGTTTTAATTGAATGCAATGTAAACCTTTCTAAATGCAAGCCCGCGAAGGATCGAATTGATTATTCGAAAGAACGGCTTGCATAACGTACTGGAGTGTACAGAATACTCCACAATTGTCAGATCGGAAGGAGGGATATGGCCAGCCAGAGATGGATAAACAAGCACGTACACGGTTGGCGTAAACATTAAAAGGGAAATGGTCTTATCGCCACTGAAATGATGAAGAAGTAGCTTCTTTTAAAAAACATACCCAATTAAAGACTAGAGCAGGGCGGATAAATGTTTATCTGCCCTGGACTAGAGTGCACAAACCATACTCTATTTCAGACCAAAACGGCTAAAAAAACCATACTCTTTGGCGCCGCACATACCAATATCTGCTATATAG